GAATATTTTTTGTTTAAACTTGTATGTATATAGGAATAATATTTACCTTTCTAAATTCACAAGAAATGAGCTAGATGTTTAGCATCTAGAGGAGCATTAGAGCTGTTTGAACCTGGTTTCAGATTAATTACTGAATGAATAATGTTGTTTTAATTCCAGAATGGACTAATTTGGCAACAATACTTCCTTGTAAAGTAGTGGGCAGAAAAGGGTCAGTCTGGAAAGGTCATTTATCCTCCCGTATAGCACAAAGGTGGTTTTTGTGCTGTATGGTCTCATTTCCCTTAGTGTCAAATGAGAATTTTGCAAGTGGCAATGGTACCTTAACAGGTAAAGTAACATCCTGCTTTTTAAAAGGCTTGAAGAGAGTTATAAAATTAACTGAGCTACTTTATAGTACATGCTGCAATTTGTTACAATCTGACTGTTTGTGCATTTGTCCAAATAAGTGTAAAGGCGCACTTTGCCATTTGCCTTTTTGTACTGTTCCCTCTACCTTAGTATACCCATTAAATGGATCATAACAGTTCTCATGTAGTGAATACCAAGGCATGTTTCTTCTTGATCTTTGTATGTTATGTTAGTGGAATTATGTATGTGTACAAACCAGGAGAATTTCATGCCAAATCACTTCAACTCCTGTCTTGCCTCCAATACTTTTCTGCCCAAATTTACACCCAGTGAGTAACATTTATCGCCACATTAACTCAGGACTGAGTTTAGCCTGCATTTGATTGTTTTGACTTTAAAGCCACCATTAAAGCTGTCTAAATTAAACTGCTTGTGCTCCTGTACCATGGGGGGAAGAGCTAGTTCATTGCAGTGGAGATTTCATTTCCTCTCTGTTGTGACAATGCAGTGAAACAATTCATTTCAGCAGGCTTAATGGTATAGTATTGACTGAAGTAGTTCTGCAATTTTTAATAGCACTTAATCTTTAAGCAGATGTAATAAATGAGTTGTTATATAAAGGAGTAATGCCTGTGTTTAACACGGTGCAGTATGTCTTTTTGTAAAGCACTAGGGGACCAAAATAGCCCCTCCAAACATCTACGGACAGAGAAGAGCTTATAGAAAAGCTACATTATAGCTCTAAAGCAAAACAAACTGTTGCTTGGTCTATATCCTAACCTGATGTTTTTCCATTCAAGTACATAAAAATCTTCAGAACTTTTGAATAAAAGGTCAAATTCATCCAAGAAGATTTTTTTGCTGCTGTTCAAAAATTGATCAGTTGTAACAATTGCTGTTTTCTAGGTCTTTTGTATTGTCATAATGTACAGAATGAAAGATTGCAAGACGCTTTGTAGTATCGATCATTGTCTTTCAAGAGCCAACTGATTTTTCATTAAAGCTAAAGTTGATGGTTCTTAAGAAACAAAACAAAACAAACCAGCTTTAAAGATATGATAATAAATTGCTCTGATATGCTGTTGATTGTACTTCAAAGTCTGCACAGCCTGAGACTGTGGTCTCATACAAAGTAGACTCCAGGCAACCTCAGAAAAACACACCCGACTTTCATGCCAGAGTGGGCTGGAAGGCAGAGCTCGGCCTCCTGAGTTTCTCAAAATTGCTGGAAATTTCTGTTCCAGAAGGGGGCTGTTTAATCGGACTCCAACACCACTTGCTGTTTTCTACTCTGTTGCAGTGCTTCAGTTTATGAATGTGCTACTGAATGATTTGCTGGGGAATTTTGGAATAATGGTTTTGTTGCATAGTATACTATGTTACCACATTAATTATTGTTTTCTCTTTAATGAAGTTGTGGAGTCAAATCTGTTCTTCAGAATAATGCAATTCTGACCTTTATATTCCAATGTTTTGCTGTGACTGGGGTCTAACAGTTGATTTGATCAGAAGTTACAACACTAGACTAACTTCTGCAATAATTACATGGAGGTTAGCTGAAGTACATCCTCTTACAATGTCTTTCCCTGTATTTTTCTTCCAGCTGAACGAGATATCAATGTTTTCTGTGGAGTGCAGACAATTACTATGAAGATAAATTTTTGCACAGTTCTTTTCTCTGGTTATTCTGAGACAGATCTGGCACTGAATGGGAAACATGGGGATGCCCACTGCAGGGGTTTCATCAATAACAACACCTTTCCAGCAGTGGTCATTTTCATCATCAATCTGAGTACTTTGGAATCCTGTGGAAACACTTTAGTGGTAAGACAAGGTCAAAGTGAAATTGTAGCATGGCTGTTTATACATAGGATCAAGTGAATGGCCTTGACAGCACTGTATCTTTTACAAATAATTGTAATAATTGTCTTGCCCAGCTAGCAATATATTGCATACATCAAAGAAAACCGGAGAAAGTCGGTAATTTATAATCTTGATTACTAATGAGAAAACGTGGTGGGACACACATTTATCCTCTGATTGGAAAGCATATTTTTCATCTTAATATTTTTTTCAGTGGAAAAATGAGATTTTTCCAAGCCATTTTTAAAACTCTTGCTGAACATGCCTTAAATTTTGCTGAAACTTTTCAAACACCCACTTGGAAAATGAAAGTAAAATATTTTTAAGAGTGAGTTAGATAGATGAGAGTTATAGTCTGGGCGCCTACTTCTGTGCTCTCATATGAGAGGGGCTTGCTGACTGATTGACTGATCTTATATGTTCTGTGATAAGGCAGTGACTGAATGTCTCAGGGGAGATAGTCTGGTCAGAGGACCCAACCCACAGTAAACACCTCTGCTAGCAGTGCCTTGAGGTCTTGCACCTCCTTGGAAGATCTCAGTGCAATATGGAACTGCCTGGCAACAAACTGAAGTTTTCAAGCAAATTTTGAATGTTTGACACACACACACAAAAGGCTATCTAAGCTATGCACTCAATTAATGACAAAAAAGTCAAGATGTGGGACTGAAGTTCAGGTTTGTATCTTCAGCTCTGATCTCTTAGTGCACAGCCATTCTGTGCTACCGTGTTTTGCCTGGGGGTGTGACTTCAGTGTCTACATTTTATGTTGCTGTTTCAGGCATGGATAATGCACATCTTTGTACAGCTAATGACTAAATCTAATCCTTAGCTGTGGGTGAGATTTTGGGACCAGAATCTGATCCAGGAGCTGACTTTGAAGTCTGTTTCGTACCAGTATAATTTCGTTTTCTTCAATGAAACTGTCTCACTTTGAATGGGGGGAGGGGGAGAAGTCAGGTCTCCAACCTTCTAAATCAAGGGAGAAGAGAGGTGTACAGTTTGCGTGTATATCACACTGTACAAGCAGTGATGACTTGTATCAAAGTATCCGTGAATAACTTACGAAAAGAAGTATAAAAATGTATCATTTTTAAGTCTTATATTCTGTCTGGAATTCATACTTGCACTTGATGATACCTGCCAGTTTTTGTAACAACCCCCTGTTTTCTGTTGCTAATAATTTTCCGAAACTGGGCTGAAATATTCGATGTGCTCTGTGACCTATTTGCCTCAGGCCGAGTTTTCTTTTAAAATTTCAACAAAAAACAGTTCAGCAAGTTCAAGATTCTCTTTTCCCGTTTCCCCTGAAAAGCTGTAGCACCTCCATGACTTGCACTAGAAGAATTTGCCAGGAAGCAACTTTTTCCTGTTCCCGTGGAGTCGGTCGCGCTGTAAACTCCCTGAACTTGCTATTTGATTATAATTGTAAGAGCTTGATTTAAAAAAAAAACAAAAACAAAACAACAACAAAACAACAGTCTGGTAAGTCCAAATAATTGCAGCTCCCCATGAAGCTCCCCCCAAGGCTATACAGGATACACAGTAGCAGCTGCTAAAAATATAACCAAAAATTCCCCTCATCCTCTCTCAGTTTATGCATGCTGTGCCACAAAGAGCATAAAGGAGCAGGGAACATTTCTTATCATGTTCCCCACACTGGAGTAGTACAATCCTATGCATTTCTTGACTGTGTTTCGCAGCAAAGACCTTCAAACTAATTTTCAATGGGTAAAGGAAAGACAACAGTTCAGGCAGAAGTCAGGTAAAACCCAGGCCTGTCTGTAATACGGCAGACAACTTTTTACTTTTTTTGAGGGGTGGGTTGGTGAGGAAGCTAAACAGAACTGTAGTTGGCTATACTACCTTAGTGCTCTAGCCTGTGTTTTTTAGGCAAGGAATAGATCCTAGGAAATTGGATTTTCATCATTTTCCTGCCATTTAACAAATGTTTAGGTACACTGTTGGCAAAGTGTATGGCTGCATCTGTCTTCTAGCCGTTTTTTCTGTAGCCAAAGAAATCAAAATACCTGCTGTGTATCCTGTGCTACTTAGTGCAAAATGTTACAACTCATGCGCACCTCAGCATGATTCTTCCATAACGAAATGGCTTTTTAAGAAACTGTGTGTTCTAAAGCTATTGAAAACACACGTTTTGCTCATACAGTTATACAAAGGAAATGCTACTGTGGAAGTCTAGTGCCATGTTAATTGGCCTTATTGTGCATATGCCTACTGAGAAAGTAATTTGTGACACTTATCTGCTGTTTTCAAACCACCCCCTTATTCAGATCAGTAGCTACAGATGGAGTGGGGCTGGGCTGCTACCAGGAGGAAAAGGTATCCTTCAGTTTTCTGGAGAGCTGCATGTTATTGCTGGCTCTGCACACTCTGTGAGCCTGAGCAACACAGGATAGCGCGAGTCCAGGGACTGAATTAAGGTTGCATTGGCATTAAGGTTGTATTACTTTTCACCTCTTGCATTTCTCACAGTGTTTCTTTGCATATAGTTTATAATTTAGATTTAGAGATGTATAATGTAGACAAAAACACAGACTCAAAGTTCAGCTGTTTGACTTGTAAAGTACATTGGTTTTGATATGTCAAAAACAAAGCTCAAGAGTGACAGAGCATTGTTTCTGTGAATGAAATTGTTTGTGTATTGACTTTATTATTGCATGTAGAAGCTCATTTTAAGCTAATATTTTTTAACTAATATAAAAGTTCCTTCAGCTTTTCCCAGTAATCATGTGAATTCACTGGGAATGCTCAGAAAAAAGTATTCATCAGTTTTTTTCAAACGTTGCTCAAGTCTGTGTTTTAAGAACAGGGATATCACTTGTGAACTGTATATGCATGATTTTGGGGAGGTGAAAAACAGAACACAGGGAACGTGTTATTGAACTAAATTAATTTTTTAAGATCTCTCTGGGTAAATTATGGGCTAAAGCATCAGTGTCCTTAGGTATCTTTTGTTCCACAGTTAACTTTCTGATAATAGTGGTTTTCTGTCTCCCTCAATAGGTATCCTCAGCTCGAGGTATCAATGCTTATGGAAATACCTCAGTGGTACAGATAGGTAATGTTTCAGGCTATATTGATACGCCAGACCCACCAACGATTATCAGCTATTTGCCTGGGCTTCTGTACAAATTTAGCTGTAGCTATCCACTGGAGTACTTGGTTAACAATACCCAGCTTGCTTCGTAAGTGTGCTTTTCATTTCTATGTGTTTGATTCAAATGTTTATGTAAGCCCATATGTATGTGTATATATGCATACCCCCCTAAATTTATGCATGCCATAGCAGTATTGTCAACATAGCGATTTTTAGCTGTGCAGGAGTAAAGGGAAATGAAGAAGCACTGAAAGAAGAGGTGATGCAAAGGAAAAGAAAATTCTGTAGCATCATTTTATGAGATAACATAGTTTATGAAGAGCTGCCTTTATGAAAAGAGCCTTAGATAATGTAAAACTTCCCTTAAAATTCAGATGTTCTGACGACAAGATGGTAGCAGCAAAAAAATGGAAATTCTTCATGAAATAGTTTGTAAGCATGTTAATACAGAATGCAAGAGAAAATATTTCAATGAGTAAACCTTGTACATCATGGAAAGCAGGTTCCTTTTTGTCACTTTGCCTCTCTGCTAATTATTTTTCTGATTCATGTTTTCAAAAGTATCCATTACTTTCTGCATAGTTAAGGTTCTGTCAGTGGTTCCACTGTACATTCCTATTTCTGAAGTTTATAACCCAAATGCATAAAGTAACTCCTTGTGACATGACATTTTTTTAACGATAAAAAACACTGAAGTATGTAAACACAAAAAAAAGATATCTTTCTTCATGATGGTTTTTGGTTTCTGGTTCTGTTGTAGGTCATCAGCTGCTATTTCTGTAAGAGAGAACAATGGTACATTTATCAGCACTTTGAATTTGTTGCTTTACAACGTGAGTATAAAACACAGTAGTGTGACCTGGACTAAATCCATCTCTGCACTATGTGGGTGCAAACTGAATTAGCAGAGCAAAGTATTGACTCGTCTTCATTATTTGCTATTCCCTTCCCACTCCTCCCATGAAGAACCAGGCCTTTCATCTGGGCATCTTTCATCTCTGAGTTCCCTTGTCCTTTTCATTTGCATGTGTACCTGTTGTCCTGTATTGATATGGCTGGTCTTTGAGGACACACACAGTCTTTTTGTCCTGTATTTATACAGTTCCTCAATTTACAGCTCTGGCTTTCAGGTTGTAGCGCCATATGAATAATCGGTTGTAGTAATAATAATAAGCATACTCCAGAGTGTGTACTTGTGTTTGCATTTATTATGTATATGTGCATGTGTGTGCGCGCGTATTTATATATATGTGTGGCTGTGTGCGTATAGGTACATTGTACTGATACAGAGAGTACCCTGTAGAATTCTGTAAAAATATTCTAGACCAGTTCCCTTAGCAATAAACTGTAGCACTTTTGCTGGGGTATTTTTATGTTCAAGCCTCATCAGAGTGTTTTGATCATCTGTAACTGTAATGAGGGGTGTGGGATTTGTTCCAAACCTATAGCCCACTGTACTTGTTGCCTCATTGTGTGGACTTTCAAGATTTTAAGGATTAATTTTAACAGCTTTCAACTCTCACTTCTTCCATATGTTTTAGATAATTTAACTTGAATATGCATTATTGTATAAGCTTTTACTATGTAAATACGGATGGTGACAGTAAAACGTGAAAAATGCATGGACCTCTACTTAACAACATTAATCCCTGAAATGATATTTTCATGTTGATTAAAATTTTTATTCATACATTTTAAATACCTGATTTAAATATCAATTTTTCAATCTATCAAGCAACATTTTTGTAAATTATGAATCTGATTTTTTTGCATTATTATTCATGCCATCATGACGCTGAGTTATAATTCATGCAACTGATTTAAAAGTCAATGCTTTATGCTTTGAACATAATGAGCTATAAATATTGTAACAGGACATTTTCCAAAGGCATGCTTAAAAAAAAATCATGTTTGTTTGATGGAGCAGAACGCCAAATAACAACCTATAATCTGTTAAAATGAAGATTATACTTCTCCCATTTTTAAATAAACCTGTGACCAAAAAGATGGGGCAGGGTGAGGGTAGCCAAAGTTCTCAGTCAGGACAAGCATCGACCACCATGTTTGCTGCCTTTCAGGGCCCAGTTCTGCACACTATCAGGTATAAATGCTATTGATGCTTGTACTGAGCACATTTTTTCCTCAAATACCACATGCCAAGCTGGGCTTTCATCCTCCCTTCCCCAGTGAGTTTACAAGTCGACCATGAACAGTGGTGTCTTATCCTTCTGATTTCAGTTGTATTACTCTAGTGAGTAGCACTAGCATGAATAATACTGCTAAGGCTGGCAGATTCAAGTGATGGATATGCCCTTCTGGTTCACATCCTAGGGCTGGGTGTGTACACAGACAGCTTGCGCATTGCCTGCAGTATGCCTGGTTGGGCGTGCCTGTTGGGACACCCATGGTCTTGTGAGCTCTGATCCTGTGGGCTCACTTGGTCCCTGTTAGAGAGTCCTGGTTTTAGGGGGGACCTCGAGGCTCCTGTCCACCCTTGGTATTGGTGAGTGGTTGTGTACAGATGTGGCTCTTCACTGTAAGCAGCCATACTTTCAAACTTTAGCTGTAGTGTTGTTTCCTAACATTGACTCTTCATCTCCCAGACTACAGGTTAAGATAATATAAAACCTGGTGGCATTGCTGTCTCCACTAAATCAAATAACCTTAACAACCTTTCCTGGGAAAGGGTACACTGTGACAACCCAGTTAAGCTCCTCCTTTAGAAAACCACAGTAGCTGCTATGTTTGCCTGTAGGTGCTGGGAGACACTGAGGTGTTAATGAATGATACCTTTTCTTTAATCACTGATCCAACCACTTCATAAAATAATAAATAGATTCTCCAAAATAATCGCATAGGATAAGGCCAGTCAAGTGTTGTTGATCTTTACAGACAAACTTGTAGGCAAATGCTCTGGCACTGCTTTTTGCTTCTTCACTTATAGAGGACAAAGTAAATGACTGTCCTACGTAGAAAGGTCAGAAAAATTAGATGGGGGTTCAGTCTGTGGATGCAGATGGGTTGTTACAGGGGGATTTCTGGTACACTGAGGCAATGTTTGTTTTTCAGGATTCAACCTACAGCCAGCAGCTCCTTATTCCAAGTACAGGTTTACCTTTGAAAACCAAAATATATGCAGCTGTAAAAGCAACCAACCTTGATGGCAGGTACCATAAAGGATGTTATTTCTTGTCTTGCTTGCTATTCAGCTCTTGGTGTTGCAAATTTTTCTGATTTAGAAGCAACTGTCTTTCCTCATAGCCTTTTGTATGTTAAAATAATGGTTGGTGTTTGATAATCACTGCCATCAGCTGGAGGGTATCAGGTCCTTGATGGTGAATGCATATCTTGCTGCTGTCTTCATTATGAACATTTTCCTGAATTATACTTTAAATCCTATATTGCTGTTATTTAAGAAAGGCCCTCTGTAAGATCAAGTGAGAAACTCCAGGGCTTTTGTTGTGGTTTAACCCCAGCTGGCAACTAAGCACCACACAGCTGCTTGTTCACTCCCCCTCCCCCTGTAGTAGGATGGGGGGGAAGAGAATTGGAAGGCTAAAAGTGAGAAAAGTCATGAGTTGAGATAAGAACAGTTTAATAATTAAAATATTATAACAATAATAATAATAAATTGTAATGAAAAGGAAAATAACAAAGAGAGTAATAAAACCCAAGAAAGACAAGTGATGCAAATGAAAAGAGTTGCTCACCACCAACCGACCGACGCCCAGTCAGCACCCGAGCAGCAGCCCCCCTGCCAACCTTCCACCTAGTTTTATTGCTGAGCATGATGTCATATGGTATGGAATATCCCTTTGGTCAGTTGGGGTCAGCTGTCCCTGCTGTGTCCCCTCCCAACTTCTTGTGCACCGCCAGCCTAATCACTGGTGGGGTGGTGTGAGAAGCAGAAAAGGCCTTCATGCTGTGTAAGCACTGCTCAGCAGTAACGAAAACATCCCTGTGTTACCAACACTGTTTCCAGCACAAATCCAAAACACAGCCCCATAC